GGATTCACTCACAAGTCATTATTAACCAATTGGGCAACAAAACCAAACGAAGGTAAAACACACTAAATAATGATTCTCTGCAAATTTGATATTTGTTTGATTTTTTTCTGGACCAATGCAGATCAACAACAACAGCTTGAATCTCCGACATCAACAGTTTCGTTCTCGGAGATGAAGGAATCGACGAAGATTGAGTTTGTCGGATCATCAACGGGTCTGACTCTGATCAAAGAACCTGAAAACGATTGGATCAATTCAACGATTCACGGATTCGCAACTACGGAGATGTCTGAAGGAATCGAAGAAGGGTTCACTGGTCTGTTGCTCGCCGGCGATTCGATCGGCCGGAGTTTCTCCGCCGATAAAAACGAGACAGCCGGCGAGAGTAGCGGTGGTGGTGACTGCAACAACTACTACGAGGACAACAAGAACTATTTGGACAACATTTTTAGCTTCGTTGATCCTTCACCGTCCGATTCACCGTCGATGTTCTGATTCAAAAGGGAATCAAAGGGTCGATATCACTTGGGAATGTTTTTGATTCTTTTGTCTAGTTTTTTGTGCGTAAACTAGGTAACTTTTAGACTAATCATTTTTTTTTTGCTTTTTTATATTACTGTTTCATTACTATTATCTTATGGTATTTCAATATTTGGATGAATATTCCATGGACAGTACAAAATAATACATATTTTTTTTCATCTGAATATCACATAAATTAAAGATCCAAAAAAAATCAAGAATCGAAACATTTGACAGTGATGACCATAGGATCAAAAAACCAATCTTTTACTACAAATTACATCAAAAACAGAAAGCAAGTTAAACAATCTAGTTGTACCGAGTCTTCAACTACTTACGTTTCCAACCATTGATCTCTTTCATCACAAGTTTTAGTCACGGTAATTTGAGGCAAAAGCTTACCACTGGAACTAGAGCTGAAGACAAGCACGCGACCGTAACGAAGAACAGCTATGGTGCACCATCAAGAGGCCCCCGAAGTCCAATGTAATTAGGCGCTACCGATTCCACGTATTCCAACTCTCCATCCCATACTAAAAACCCCACCGAAACAGAACCAGATCAGAGTTAAAACGACCACAAAACCAAAGGTTGGAAGCGAAGCCTACAACTGTTGTA